TGTTCTTTACCTTCTTCTAGCAGCAGGCTATAAATGTCTTGTTTGGGCTCCGGTGTGTCCTACACCTGGCAAGGCATGAAGAGGATGTTAGTGGTCAGTGAATGAATGAGTTGGCAAGGCTGGGAGAGACTTAAAGCTCACATTTCAATTTTCCTTATTCAGATGTGGGGAAGGAAGCTGGGCAAGGGGAAGGGTCTCAGTGAGGCACTGAAGAAGGACCCATAGATTCTGGTCTCAATGGCACCTTTAAGCACAGAGGAAAAGCATCAGAAGGTCAGTTTCCCCAGTCTCTCCCCCCTCAAGTGGACCAGACTAATGTTCTATTAATCACGTGCTTCTTCCGCTCCCCCACCTGACCAGGCTCTGGAGCATCATTGTCTCCTAAATGTTGCTTTGTTCCCAGGTTGCTGAGGTGAGGGGAGCTGTCCARAGTCTCCCAAGAACAGCCCAGACTACAGGAACCAGCTCCTGTTTGTCACCCTCATGTCATACAAAATGTCATGGATAGGGTACCCATGAAACAGAGCAGTGAAGGGAAAGCTGTGCTTTGCACCTGTCTGTTCACCTTCCAGGTGTTGCCCTGTGATCCTGTGGAGAGGCAGATAGGCCCTGAGGACCCCTCCTTGTGAGTGACTTAGATGCCCCTATAAAAGGCTTTCGGGGGCTGCCTCTTTTGTCACTTCTACCTCCCTCCTACATGTGAGGCACACGGTTCCTCCCCTCCGGAGGACACAACAATCAAGGCAGCATCTTGGAAGCAGACAGCAACCCTCACCTCAAAACCCCCAAATTGAGGATGCTCGCACCTCAGTCTTGGATTTCCCAGCCTTCAGAACTGAGAGAAAGAAATTCCTGTGCCTTATAAATTGTCCAGCCTCAGATATTTTGTTTTAGTGGCACAAAATGAACTAAGAGGAATTTTTCTTAAAAAGTCCATCAGTAGGAAAGAGATTAAATCATTCTACAGTAGAGAGACAACAAAATACCCTGTAGCCAATAGGAAGAACAATCTAGCTCTATAAGGACTTGGGATTTATTTCCAGTGTCTTGATACAGTCACACTACAGTGGTTTCAAGGTGATTGGAGATTGCTTCTTCTTTTTTTTTTTAATCTTTTTTTTTAAAGAGAGAGAGAGAGAGAGAGAGAGGGAGGGAGGGAGGGGAGAAAGAATTTTAATATTTATTTTTTAGTTTTYGGTGGACACAACATCTTTGTTTGKATGTGGTGCTGAGGATCGAACCCGGGCCGCACGCATGCCAGGCGGGCGCACTACCGCTTGAGCCACATCCCCAGCCCCTGGAGATTGTTTCTAAGACATATTTTTAATTGAAAAAAAGAATGATGGAAAATAAAATATTGTTTTCAATAAAAGAAAAGGGAAGGAAAGAAGGAGGGAATTTGGAGATGTCATAGACTGGAAGGATCTAAGAAAGGGCTTGCGTGGGGAAGGTGTCTGGGGTAGGCTGGGAGGATTCTGAATACTTGTGTCTTTCCTCTTGTACCCTTTGAGCTTTATGCCACTTTCACACATAGTCAAAAATTATTTGGGGGCCAAGGAGGTAGTTCAATGACAGCATGTGTGAGCTCCCAGGTTCAGTCTCCAGAACCACAATAATTAATTAATTAATTAATTAAAAATTATATGAGTAATTTATGTAAAAAAATTTTAATATAAAAGATTTAAAAATTACTCAATTTAAATATGTGATTATACAATTGAGGCTTTTTTTTTTCCACTTGACAATATATGTGAAGATTTCCTCATATCTTTATTTTTATTTATTTATTTATTTTTAAATATTTACTTATTTATTTTTTAGTTTTCGGCAGACACAACATCTCTGTTTGTAAGTGGTGCTGAGGATCGAACCCGGGCCGCATGCATGCCAGGCGAGCGTGCTACCRCTTGAGCCACATCCCCAGCCCCCTCATATCTTTAAAAAATATTGCTGGGTATGGTGGCACACACCTGTAATCCCAGTAGCTTGAGAGGCTGAGGTAGGAGGATTGAAAGTTCAAGGCCTGCCTCAGCAACTTAGCAAGGCCCTAAGCAACTTAGTGAGACCCTGTCTCAAAATAAAAAATAAAAAAGACTGGGGATGTGGCTCAGTGGTTAAGTGCCCCTGTGTTTAATCCATGGTACCCCCCCCAAAATTCACAAACATCATAATACCTGAATGATACTTCATTTGAATATAAATTAGCATATTTATATATTTCTCCATTTTACAGTTGGTTGTTCTGGAATTTTAAATATTACTGCAATGAACATCTTTGTACATTTATTTTCATGTACAACTGGGATTATTTTCTTATAATAAATTATTATAAACTGACTTAATGGCTCAAGGATATTAAGAAAGTTGAGGTTTCTTGTTTCCTATTGTTAAGCCATTTTTAAAGAAGTCCTTGGTAGTTTACACTCTCAATGACAGGATTTGAGAAGAACCATTTTCTTTGTGTGACGCCCTGAGTTTCAACCCCAGCAACAAACAACAAAACAAAACCCCTAAAATGAGAGTGACCATTTGCTGGCACAAAATTCYACTCTGAGGATTCTTTCTTTTATTTTCCCATTTGCTTTTAACTTTCAAGAGCAGAATATGAGCACATACGAGCACAAATGTGTAAGAGAAATGAGAATCTGATACACTGGTGCTTTGGAACAGAGGGCTCCCAGGGCCCTGCAGGGATGGGGAGGGGGCAGCTGAGTGAGCTCCAGATGGCTTGGTGGGTGTGTTCCAGGACTGGGCTTTGAGCTTGTCAGAGTGCCCTCTCTGTGCCAGGATGGGCAGCTTTCTGTCCTGGGAAGCTTGTAGGGTCAGGCAGGGCAAAGCCCCAGGGTGTCTGTCTCGGAGTGAGGCTAGCCTTTTAGATGAGCTTGTAACTCCATCCCAAGGTATTCTCCTGGAGATACCAGACAAGAAGAGCAGCACTCTGCAGGATKCAGGCCTTTCCCAGGTCCTGAGGTGGAGACAGTTCATCATCCCTAGAGAGGTGGTGGCAGAGGGGCTGGATGGATGCCTGGATGGATAGACAGATGAAATGTGATCCTGGGAGCGGTTACAGAGCAGCTGCTCTCCCCCAGGTGCTGCTCGGAGTGTGCAGGGATGGAGCAGCCAGATCACAGCTGCTGGGACTGGTCCTGTCTGTTTGCATGGTGAGAAGCTTCCTGTTTTCATGGAGCTGACTTTAACCAGAGAACAAGAGCTGAAGAAACCGAGGCTTCAGGGGACAGAGTGGCTTGACAGGGTCAGACCCTTCCCATGAGCAGCAGGTACAAGGGGAGCAGAGCCTAGGCCTAGGACCCAGAGGGTCTGCTGAGGCCCTTCCCATTCAGGCTTGTAAACTTAGCTCAGATGCTGTGYCAGCCATTAAGTGAAGTATACAAAGCATAAATTCCTGGTCACACTACCTTTGCTATTATTAGCATTGTCCTCATAATTTGGACTGGTGGTCATGCTATTGTTACCATTATTACAGCAGCCCATTCTCCTGATATGAAGACTTGAGCACTTTCCCCGTAGGGAGAGGGTTGAAGTGAAACTGTGACCTACAGAAGGAACTGCCTCTGGGAATTCCTTTAGCTGAGGAGGAGCCTGAACCCCCACCCCTCAGGCAGCAAAGAAAGATATGCAAGGTGCGCCATCTTCTGGATAGAAGGGGAAATCGCCTTACACAGAATTTTGGCCCTGCTTTTGTTTTACAGATGGGGAACTAGAGGCTCAGAGAGAGTCAGGTCTTTGTTCCAAAGAATAGGCTATAAAACACAATGTGTAGTATGATCCCCAGATAATTTTTKGGKGKGTGTGTTTCAAGCCCAGGGCCATATGCTTCTTAACGTATATGGCTCTTCTTTACAGCTGTGGCTGTCTTCTTCTCACTCCTAGGCTGTTGCTCAACCACGAGGGCTGTTAGTCCCCATCTCAATAGTAATGATTTCTTCTTTCATCTCTTTCCTCCCTTTATATCCCATCTTTCTTCTGAGCGCCAGCCCCTTTGGTCCCTGTATCTACTCCCCCTGTCCTCTGGGAGGGCTCACAGGCCATACAAGGTTGGCATCAYTAACTAGAACTCTTAACTTCACTCCCAGAACTCGCCTTCACTCCCCAGATACTCTGCTGACATTYCCTGTTGAGGAAGCCACACTGCTGTCCACCTATTTATTCAAGCGCAACCTAAGTTCCCCATCAAACAATAACTATTATGGATTTGTCCTCCAAATTACATCTCAAGTCGGCCTYGCCACCGCCTTGCTCCACCACTGTCTTCTTGTACCGGAGCGGAAGTCTCCCGAYTTCCTTCCTTCCAGGCCCAGCTCCAGCTAGAACCCTGAGTCATCTTTGAAAYGCACAGCTAATCATTCATAACCTGGCCTGACACCCCTCAGAGTCCAAGTTTCAGATGTGGTCTGACCCCTGCCCACCTCAGCACTGTCCCCAGTGTCCCTGCCCCACCATTCTCCAGCCTGCTGGCTCTTTTGCTTTTCAGCCCACCATACCCTCCCTCCTCAGAGTCTTCACAGGTGCATCACAGAGAAGATGTTCCTTCTCTGTGATGCTCTTCCTCTCTTCATCTAAATGTCTGTTCATGTCACTTTGCCAACTCCAGCCTTGGTCAGGTCCTGCCAGTCACTTCAGCACCCTGCATTCTCCCTCACAGGGCTGCGCACTGTGGTTCTGATGTAGGTGCTGGGTAGTTGGATGCCGCCTCTGGTASATCATAAGCCCTGTGAGAGCAGGGACCATGGCCAACTTGTTTGCTGCTACATCTATAGCACCTAGCCAGTGCCTGGCACATGATACTGATAAGTGTGTCAATGTTTCCTTAGAATAAAGGCTGTGTTCTTTGAGATGGTGGTGGTGGTTGGCTGTGTCGGGGGTTACAGGTGGCTGATTTTGTTCTTTGTGTTTTCTGTGCTTTCTGCTTTGTCTGCAGTGAAAAAGGCAGTAGCTGTCATTCTGCCTCACCTCTGCCCTCCTGCCCCCTGTCCCCACAGGCCCGAGGAGCGATGCAACAAGCATGATGGAGGTCGAGTCCTCCTACTCGGACTTCATCTCCTGTGACCGAACGGGCCGTCGGAATGCCGTCCCTGACATCCAGGGTGACTCAGAGGCTGTGAGCGTGCGGAAGCTGGCTGCAGACATGGGCGAGCTGGCACTTGAGGGGGCAGGTCAGATCCAGTGGTCCTGGCAGGGGAGAGGCTGGAACCCTCGTCCCAGATTACCTCTCTTCCTCAGAGAAGCAGCTGCACTCCAGTCAGGCCTGCTGATAGTCAGTGAGAGACCAGCCAGTCTCTAGGTTGGCAGTACCAGCATCTCAGGCCCCAGAGACTCCCTGGCCAGGCATCCAGGGCACTTCCCTTCCCTCTCCCCAGTCCACTCACCCGCCCTGTCATTCTCCTCCAGGATACATCCAGCTCCCTCCACTGGGTGCTGGCCACTACCCACCTTCCTGGCCTCCCTGTACCCACTCCCCCACTCTCCAGCCCACCCCTWCAGCCAGCAGGGTCCCTTCTACCCATCTTCAGCTTAGAACATCTCCCTCCCTCTCCTGGAGCTGGGGCTGCTGTCCTCTTGTCCTTGGTCCCAAGCTCAGAGGGCAGATGCTCTGAAAGGCGCCCCTAACAGCTAAAGCCTCCTCCCCAGCCATGTGACTCTCCTCACCCTCAGACAAGGTCTCATTTGTTGTAGCAGCTCYGAAATAGAAGGGGCCTGTTCTGCCTGGCACACAGCAGGTGCTTGATGACCACAGGCCAAGAAAGGCCCAGAGGAAAGGTCACATGCACCATTCAAGTATTGTCTGGGACACTCCACTTCCTCTGTGTCTCCCTCCATCCTCCCAGAAAACCCTGCTGGGCTCAGGTCCAACCTGTCTGCTCTGGGCTCTTCTGGGAAGCCTTCCCTGGCTCCTGCCCTGGCTAGGGCCTTTTCCTCTGAGAAAGCCTTCCATAGCACCTCCAAGGCCAAGGTCATCACTATCCCATCACTTCCCACAGGGCATTGGAGCTYTGGGCTATCTGCACCCACCTCTCCAGGGCAATACTTATAGGATGGTTAGAAGGAACTCTGCTGGCTACAGTAACAAGCTGGGGGAGGGGTGGGAGTGGGTGCAAGGAGGCCAGGAGGAAGCCATAGTCTTGCCTTGCTCTGTAGAGCCCCAGCCTAGAGTTCTTGGTCCTTGCTGCCCAGAAATGATCTACAGGGACAAAACAGAAGACTTCAGAACCTAACTCATGTTATAGGTGGACAAACTGAGGCCCAGAGAACTATATTAACTTGCTGGGTGGCCTGCTCAGGGTCATCCCGATAGTCTTTATACCTTGATAAAGAACCCCTGACCCCTGCTGCAGGAACCCCACGCACCCACACCTCCTGTTTGAAGGTCTGCAGGCTCTCCCTGGTGATGTGGCCCAAGTGCCTTACCCAGGTGTGGACGCCACCTCAGCTGCCATCCTGCTCTGCTCTCCAGCCTCAGTTCTCACTTCCTCCCTAACCAGCCAGAGGAAAGTACTTCTTGTTTTCAAAACTGCCCTGTCAGCTCCTCTGTCTGGTTCTTCCTTCCTCCCCTGCCTGGCTGCTTCTCACTTGTGAAGACACCTGCTCTGCTGAGAGGCCTTGCCTGACCACATCCCCCTCAGAGAGAGGCCCCCTTGTGTGGGCAACCTCCTTAGACCCCTTACCACAGCTGCTCCCCCACCCCTTCACCAAGCTGCTCCAGTGTGCTCGCGGTGCCTGGCAGTGGTCAGCACRTGGAAGATGCTTACTCAATGGCTGCTCCCTGCCAGCTGAACGGACAGCATGCTCAACTGTCATGCTGGGCGCATTGCCAGGGGCTCCCTAAAGGCTTCTGTGTCCTCCCCCTCAGCTCTGGTAAACTTTGTCTGCCCCCCATTCCAGCCCTTGTGGCTGCTCTGCCATGCACCCAGGTCCTTCTAACATGGTCTGTACTGTCTGACTCAGAATCCTTGAAGTGTCTGGGTCCTTAAGTATATGACATTTGTCTGCCAGAGTGACTGACCTTTGGGAAGGAGACACGAGGACAGAACATTGTAAGAATGTGAAGCACTCACAGTGGAGTCCAGGCAGGAGTGACTGTCCAAGATCCCTCACAGGAGGCCTCAGTGAACAGCGTCATCAGGCCAGTCTGGACTGAGCTAAGTCCCAGGACTCACTGAGTCAGAGCCTCCAAGCACTACTCCAGAGGTCCTGACCCRACAGACCCATGCTGGGACCCAGAGCAGCCTCTCCTGCTTAAAGCTTCCAGGAAACTAATATGCAGCCAGGGCTGGGAAGGAGCTCTAGGACGGCTGCCCGGCCTCCCCAAGTCTGGGGCCTGCTCATGTATGTTAGCCCAGGCAGCAGCTGTGCACAAACCTTCCATCTTTCTTGGTATTTTCTATGTAGAGAGCACAGATGTTTCCTTATTTTGCCTAATAATGAGAGAAGCAGCAGGCCAGGCATGGAGAAGCCAATGCTTGCCCTCCATGGTCAGCATTCCTGATCCCACTCTGCAGCTGCTCCTGAGGGAGGCCAGGGGTGCTAGTGCAACAGGAAGTGCTGGAGAGCCTTCTCTTGGCCAGGGACCCCAGGCTGGCACAGATGAAGCCACCAATGGTTGAGCCTATTCCACTCCCACATGCCAGATGACTGTGGACGCCCCAGCCCCTGTGGTCTGAGTGGAGTGTCGCCATCCTGCTTTATAGCTCAGGAGGCAGAGCGTAAAGAGATCAAGTGACTTGTCTGAGGTCCCACAGCAGAGGAATAGCAGAGCAGAGAACAGGGGGGACCTGTTYGCCAGGGCAGGAAGCTCAGAGCCAAGTAAGGCGTCACATGGTAGAAATGTCACCTAAAGTGCCGTCTAGTTGGTCAGGCTTCTGGAGRCCAGAGGAGCCTTGAAGGGCCAGGCCCTTGTTAGATCCCATCACAGGATTCAAGGGAACCTAGGGACAGAGGTCAGAACTGGCTGGAGAGCCAGACAGCCACCTTCTGCCCACACAGTCACCACCTAACTAGCACTCCTGTCCGGAAGCTGCCTGAGGGCAGGGTGAGGTTATGCAGACCTTGGCCTTGGTGGACTGCAGAGCACTGTGCTCTTAGAGGGTGGATTTTACCAGCTCTGGCAGCACGCAGGTGTTCTCCACCCTGATCCAGGCAGGGCAGCTCACCTCTCTGAGCCACATTTTTTCACACACATCATAACCGCATCATAACTGCATCATAACCGTAATTGCACCTGCAGGTCGCCATGTGGATCGTGTGGGGAAGGGCCCATGGCCTGCAGAGCCCAAAACTTAGCATAGAGTTGGAGGGGGGGGGATCTCCTTAGTCACAGGTGGGGCTTAGGCTGAGAGCCCTAGATGGAAGTGTGTCCTATGGGACTWTATTTGTGTGCAGGCCCTTAGTGAGCTTGGAGGGCACCTGGTGWCTTTTCACAGTTCGTCACTGGGGCTGGAGGTAGAGCTAAGTAGTAGAGGACTCGCCTAACATGTGGAGGCCCTGGGTTCATTTGATATTGAAAAGAACAAACTGCACCACTGACTGAGCTTTGCATGCACACCAGCCCTGTGTGGGCCCCTGCTAGTGGGGACACAGAGACTGGGGGTACTGGGAGTGAATGGTACTTCACCTCCGCTGCTGGTGAAGGAGGTGCTGGCAGGGCCTTCCCCTCCCACTTTCCACAGTGGGACAAAAGCAGCTGGGAGTCAGGAGACCCAGCTCACACCCGCCTCATGGCACAAGTGGCTCCTTAGGCTGCTGCTGCCCTTATCCCCACCCAGCCCAGGTTTCTAGCTGGATGGGGTGAGGGAATCGGGGAGGTCACCAGCAGTGTGATGCACACCAGGATRTGCCATCAGACCCCCCAATCCGTGATGCAGGCCATCCCTGGCACTCCTCAGCTGGCCTGGTTCAGTGCCWTCAGGACCAGCTCCCATTTGCTGAGCACCTGTACCAGCACATACTCCCTCTGGGAAACTGCGCAGGTGCATTGACCCTCAGTAGCCTTTTGTCTTGTGCTCTTAGCACTGGTGTACAATCCTGACCTCTAATTGACCTTTTCTTCTTCTTTTGGGAGCAGGGGTGGTACTRGGGATTGAACTCAGGGGCTATTGACCACTGAGCCACATCTCCAGCCCTATTTTGTATTTTATTTAGGGACAGGGTCTTACTGAGTTGCTTAGTGCCTCACCACTGCTGAGGCTGGCTTTGAACTCTCAATCCTCTTGTCTCAGCCTCCCAAGCCACTGGGTGCGCCACCACACACCTGGCTCGAATTGAATTTTAATTTCACTAGTGACACTGCATTTATGTGGTGAGATGTAAGATATTACAGTGCAGGCTGAAGTCCCCTTTGGCCACCATCATCCTCATCCTACTCCACCGGGCTAGCCGCCATTATCAGCTTGCCAGCCGTTCCCTTCTGTGCTTTCCATGTGTGTAAAAGTGCCTGAGAAAATGCACTCTTCCTTCTCTCCTCCAGAAGGTCAGGCAGAGGCCAGCACCGCAGACAAGGAGGCCGGCAAGCCACCTGAAAGCAGCGATGGGACCGCTTCACCTTGAGTCCAGCCTCATCCATGGAGGCTGGAGAAAGCCTGCTGTCCCCTATGGAATGAACCCTGGCATTGGCCCAACCTCTTCTCTGAGCCCATGTCCCAGGCCAGACAGGCTAGCCTGTGAGGCCCCTCAGAGGCCTCCGCTGCCCCTATTCTGGACAAGCCCTCTGCCCACACCCCTGGGCTCCAACCTGTCCCCCTCCTTCGCACTGAGCCCAGGCACATCTGGAGACACTGTACCCATGGGGTGTTATTTATTCAGCTGGCACTGGGCATGGGCCAGATCCTGCCTACCTGGGAACAGCCGACATGGGCACACTTCTTTCAGGGGGGCCTGGACAGGGGACCATATCCTACCCAGCACCCCTCCTTTCCAACCCCAGCCTTCTCAGGCAAGACCTTCTTATCCCTTTTTTAAAAAATACTTTTAAACTTTTTAAAAACTTCAAACCTTTTTCAGGAGAGAGAAAGGGAGCCGACAATCATTGCACATTTTCTGGAAGCCATCTTAAGCTCAATTGACAATCTGTGTTGCTCTGGGCTTTCCCACACGGAGCTTCGCAGATCCGGTKTTAGAGAAATTTGGGCTCAAAACTAAATGAGCAATTCTGTGCCCTTTTTACCAAGATAAGTGAAAATTAGGCCCCAGGAAATAAATAATGATTTGTGTGACTTGTTTCAGGTACTCTCTTTTTTAAACAGCAAAGCAGGAGCAAGCTTTGGTTTCCAGGGTTTGCAGTCAGCTGGGCTCCCTTGCCACCCAGGCTCCCAGTGAGCTACTGAGAAGATGTGGCTGCCAGCACACTCCTAGGTGGTGACCTCTGTTGAGTCCTCCTCTGCCTCACCCTCTTTCACCCCATTCACGGCTTCAAGAACCTGAAAGCATGGTTCCCCTTGAATCCTAGAGTAGAGTGGGAGTGTGGGGGAAGAACCTGGGCTCCTGCACTGGACGCCCCAGCTTCCCATTTGAGGCCTCCATGAGGCTCTTGGGCCCTGCTGCTTGTCCCAGGAATTTCTTTCATTCCTACCATCAGGTCACCMGCCCGAGACCACAGCAGCACACACCATAGGCTGCGTGATATCAGACACCAGCTGCTTTATTGAGCACCAGATTTTCAGGAAGTATTGCCTTAGGGGGAGGGTTTCAGAATCATCCATGCCATCGGCAAGGGCCCTGGTCCCTGGCCAGGGCACATAATCAGAAGAGAGATGCAGCCATCCCGAGTTCTGTGATTATACAGGCTTGAGAGCATCAGTAGCTCTTAAAATCAGTCTTCCTGGAAGGAATACAGGTAAGAATGTTGCTTGATCCCAGAGTTGTGAAGACTCCATCCACAGGGTGAGGGCTTGGAGAGGGGGCCATGCTGTCTTCAGGGGTTCTGCCCTGCTGGTCAGGTCAGAGAAGCAGAAAGATCAGGCCAACAYTCACAGTCCCTGGATACTGTAAAACTCAGAACTCCAAAACCAGGAAGGAGCTCCCTTCTTTAGATGGCAAGGAGAATAAGATSCCTTTCCAAGGCCACAGGAAGGAGGGAGCAGAATGAGCCAGGATCTGGTCCAACTCCTGGGCTTTGGCTTTAGACAGCCTTAGAGATGCCCAGGCTGCCCGGGAGTTTGGGACTGGCCTTCACAAGTCTGCCCTTGGGCTGGCTCTACAGAAATAAACCCATCGGTTGAAGCTGTCACCAACCCTGGCCCAGGAGCCAGGCACTCATTGCCCATTCTTGTTATTGCCTGAGAGAAGAAGGGTTCTTAATAGAAGTCCCAGAAAGTTGTAGAGCCARGGTAAGGCAGTYGCCCAGATAGGAGCATACCAGAGGCAGCTGGCAGCATCTTGTAGGCTCTGTAGAGCTGGTCAAGGAGCTCCTTCTTCTCATCCTCTGGGAGGAAACTGGACTTYGCTGCGTTGATGTTCTAGAAGGGCCAGGGTGACAGACCACATAGAACCAGACAGCAAGGAAGGGAGCCCTTGGCAACCTACTGGTAGTCCATCCTCCTTAGAGCACAGGCAGGGGAGCTCAGGGGAAGGACTTTTCCTGGGTCACATGGCATCAAGTGGCAGAGCAGAGTGTTCTTAAAGTGGCACTACATGATACGGGATGTGCGGAGAATGTTGGAGACTGGAAGATCATTGGAAGTGTGGGGCCAGAGACCCTTGCAGGGAGTAATGGCATCATGTCCCCAGGATCCCGGGCTCAGCCTGGGATCTAAGAACACATTTTTACAGCTAGGCACACCATTCTGGGGAAGGGAGTCTTTGAAGATGCTCTGCCCAAGCAGAGGCTAAACCCAAGACTCCACCACTAAGGTGTCCCCTCAGCAAAAGGCAGCTGGCAGTARGCTTGGCTTATGGTGGACTCCCATCAACAAATCCACTCCCACCCACTGGGGGGTCCCAAGCCCTGGACATGACCTGCAGGCCTTACAAAGCCCTGAGGCCCAGGGCAAGAGTGACAGCTCACAACCACTCACCAGTCGCTTAAAATCCTCCTCGGTGAAGCCCATGTCCTGTTTGGTCATGTGGTAGTCAGTGTCCAGGGTGGACTTGAAGATGAGCGGGTCATCTGAGTTGAGTGAGTAGTTGGCCTGGTCGTTCTTGAACCTGGGGTGAGGGAGGGAGAAGAGCCTCCTCACTCTCCTGTGAATGGTCCCTGCATGTTGGTTCCCAGCCCCCACGGATGGTCACAGCCTTAGACCTGAAGGAGCATATTCTGGTAGAGTAGGAAACACATCACAGAGCTCAGGGGACTTTGTCMAAAGCCACCTAACTAGCAACTTAAGACCCTAATGTATCCCATCAGTCCAGAGCCAGGCAGAGGAGGGGCCTGATGGGAGAGCAGGGAGAGTGGGGGCTGGGGCGCTGAGAAAGCAGTGGCCCTCCAGCCACCATCCTCCTGCCCATGCTCAGGGACGGTGCTCCACACCCTTCCCCAACCAGTCCTCAGTCCCCTCCCTCCACTCCCCT